GAAGAGAGAGAGAGAGAGAGAGAGAGAGTGAAGAGAGAGAGAGGATGAGAGGAGAGAGAGAGAGAGAAGGAGAAGGGAAGAGAAAGAGAGTGAGAGAAGGAGGGAGGGAGGAGAAATAGAGAGAGAGAGAGAGAGAGAGGAAAGAGAAGATAGACAGACAGACAGACAACAGACAGACAGACACAATACGCGGAACCAACGTGTCCTAAGATACCGGTGAAATCTGAACTGGTTCTGTGACCTTATCTGACCCAGCTCGAGCCAAAACCGAAGAAAGGAGATATCGACACACAGCAAGAACGTGACATGTTCTGACGTCTGACCCTGGATTATGGGCGTGGCCTGTGACGTGACCTCTCCGCAAAAGCCTGATGCCAGTTGCTGTTCTTAAGTGGGGGCAATAAAGTGTCTTGAGGGATAGACTTTTGGGAGCGAATGATATCTTGTAAGTGGATGGGATTTGCCCCAAATTTGGGGTTTCTGGGCAATTATAGGGTTATTTGATAGTAAGGAAGGAATGTACTCTTGGGGTCAATGCTTTTGTTGTTGTTGTTGTTTTTGTTGTTGTTGCTGTTGTTTTGTTGTTTGTTGTTGTTTTGTTGTTTGTTTTTGTTGTTGTTGTTGTTGTTTTGTTTGTTGTTGTTTGTTGTTTTGTTGTTGTTGTTGTTTGGTTTTTGTTTATGATAATGAGATACAGAGGAAGAAAGTGTATCTATTGATTTTTATTTCTTTTTTCTCCCTTTGTTGTTCCTTTTCGTGTGTGTTCGATTGTTTAGAAGAAAAAAAAAGGAAGTAAAAATTAAGGAAGAAAGTCAGATCGAGGAAACAGAAAAAAAAAATCATAACAATTTCATCTTTCATTTATTAATTTATTTAATCCTTTCGAAATGAACGTAAATAACTTCTCTTCTCATTTTCCTCATCTATTAATCGTTTCGAAATTAACCGTAATTTCTTTAAGTCTTTTTCTCAATTATTCATTTTCTCATCCATCCCCTTTTCTCTCCTTCCAGACCTACCCACCCCAAGAGAAGGAGCGAAAGAAAGAAAAAAGAACCAAGAAGAGAGAAGGAGAGAAGGAGGGAGAGAGAGCGAAAGAACCACCATCTCACACTCTCTCTCTTCTCCTGGATACCGCAGAAGGTATGTACGAGTGACGTCACAAATTACGCTTTGTCATTTATGGTCTGTCATGGGATTCTGGCGGTTTGCTTGGGGATTGGAGGGCGAGTGATTACATTCTGGTTTGTGATTCGAGGCGGGAGGGAAGATTAGGATGGATCTTTATCACAGCGATGGTCAGAAAGATTACGTATACGAACCTTTTATTTCATTCCCGTCTTTCTCTACGTATTATATATATTACTATATATATATATATATATAATATATATATATATATATTATATATATATATATATTTATTATATTTTTATTATATATATATTATATATATATATTAATTATATATATATATATATATATATATGTGAGTGGTGTGTGTGTGCGTGTGTGTGTGTGAGTCTAATGTGTGTGTGTGCGTGCGGTATATATGTATATATATATGTGGTGTGTGTGTTTTGTGTGTGTATGGTGTGTGAAAGTGTGTGGTCTGTGGCGTGTATATGTATAATGTGTGTGCGTGGTGTGTGTGTGTGTTATGTGTGTGTGTGTGTGTGCGTGGTGAATATGTATATATATGACTGCAATATATCTGTGTGTTTATGTGTGTGCGTGATTGTGATCTATATATATAAATAGATAAATAAATAAATAGATATATATATATATATTATATATATATTATATATATATATATATATATATATTATATATTTATACCACACACACACACAACACATATTATATATATAATTATATATAATAATTATATATATATATATAATATATATATATATATATATTATACCACTCACCACAAATAACACATAGACACACACTCACATAGGTATATATATATATCATATATATATATATATATTATAATATTATATATATATGTTGTGTGTGTGTGTGTTGTGTTGTGTGTGGGTGTGTGTGTGTGTGTTTTGTGTGTACTTGTGTTGTGTTGTGGTGGTGGTGTGTGTGTGTGAATATATTTGCATACTATTGTTATTACTAATATGAACCAAAGACGTTATCAGCATTATCAGTTTTGTTAATCATCATCACCACAACTATTATTTTACCAACCAATCAAGTATAATCAATGTAAAAAATAATATAAAATAAAAAATTAAATTAAACACCATGATGAAAAGGAACAGATGATTAAACTAAGCAAGATATTTTTACTGAGAAAACAAAATGAATTTAACTAAACTGATACAAAAATAACAAGCTAGTCTATTGTGCAACAGAGTTCTAAGTGTTAATGTTGCTCGTTTACGCATTCTCACTTCTTTGTTTGCAACCTTGTTATTCAATCAAGAGGGGGGGAGGGGGTGGGTAGGAGAGGAGAGGGGAGAGGCGAGGAGGGAGAGAGGGGAGGAGAGGGGGGGAGAGAGGGAGAGGAGAGGAGGGGGGAGGGAGGAGGGAGGAGAGGGATGCAGGAGAGAGGGGAACAGGAAGGGAAGGGAGAGGAGGGGGAAAGAAGAGAGATGGAGAGAGGGATAGGAAAAGAAGAGAGGAGGAGAGGAGAAGAGAGGGGGTAGGAAGAGATTGAGAGGAAGGAGGGGTAAGAGAAAGAGAAAGCGGAAGGAGGAGGGGAAGAAGAGAGGAGAAGAGAGAGGAGAGAGAGAAAGGGATAGAAGGAGAGGAATGTGACGGGAGAGAGAAAGGGAAAGAATGACACGGGAGGAGGAGAAAAGTAAGAGAGAGGGAGAGAAAGAAGGTGGGGAAGAGGAGGGAGGATGAGGGAAGGGGAAGGGAGGGAGGAAAGGCTAGGAGAGGTTATGAAGGAGAGAAGAAAAGGGAGAGAAAAAGGGAAAGGGAAGAGGGAGAACTGAGGGGAAACGGAAAGGAGAGAGGGAGAGGGAGAAGAGAGACGGAGAGAGAAAGAAATAGGAGAAGGGAGAGAGGAGAAAGGTGAGAGAGGAGAGAGAAAAGAGGTGGAAAGATGTAGGAAAGAGGAGAGTTGGGGAAAGGGTAAAAGTGAGAGAGAAGGATAGGGGGAGAAGAGACGAAAAAGAAAAAAAGAAAGAGAGGGAGAGGAAAAGAGGAGAGGGGAGGGATAAAAGAAGAGAGAGAGGGGAATATGAGAGAGAGGAAGAGAGGAGGCGAAAAGGGGATAGGGAGAGAGAAAATGAGAGGAGGAGAGGCAGAGACAGTAAGTGGAGAGAAGGGAGGGAAATGAGAGATAGAGAGAGGGAGAAAAGGAAACGGGAATAAGTCGAGGGTGGAAGGAGATGGATAGAGCAAGGAGGGAAAAGAAGAGAGAGTAAGAGGAACGAAAGAGAAAGAGGAGAGAGATAAGATTGCGAACAGAGACATCGGTAGATTGATAGATTGCTCTTTCTCTCTTTCTTCTCTTTCTCTTCTCTTCTCTCTCTCTCTCTCTCTCTCTCTCTCTCTCTCTCTCTCTCTCTCTCTCTCTCTCTCTCTCTCTCTCTCTCTCTCTCTCTCTCTCTCTCTCTCTCCCTCCCGCTCCTTTCCCTCTCCCTCCTTCCGTCCCTCACTCCCTCCCTCCCTCTCCCCTCCCTCCCCTCACTCACAACCTCCCTCCCTCACTCCTTCCCTCTCTCCCTCTCCCCCTTCCCCCTCCCCTCTCCCTCTCTCTCCCTCTCACATCATTATTTCCTCTCTCATTCTCCCTTCCTCTGTCAACACGCGAGACAGCATACACAACAGCATACTCGTGCACCTGCATATATTAACGCCTTAACCGAGCATACTCGTCCTGAAGTCACAACGAAGCACATGACATCTAATGACTTAATAATCCTGAACCCGTTATACTCGTGGAAGACAGTTTTGACTTCATAAAGACAAGAAAATAAATTAATTAATAAATAGATGAATTTTTAAAATAGCGTTTCTTTGTGATACATGTTAGCTGACGTCATAAAACGGTGACGTTGTTAAAATGGTGACGTCATAAGGACGTCATTATAATGGATGTGATATAATGAGACAGTGACGTAGCACGGGATGATGACATCATGAATGACGTCACAAAAATGCTTTACACGATGAGAGAAACACCACACCTGAAATGCTGACGTCATGCATCACCAAGGTACTTCATATATTTACATTTCCTTCTTCTCTTTCTCTCCTCCTCTCCTTCTCTATTTTCTTCTTCTTCCTCTTCTTTTTCCTTAATCTTCTCCTCCTCCTCCTTCTTCTCCTTATTCTCTCTTCTCCTCTTTCTCCTTCTTCCTTCCTTCTTCTTTCTTTTCCTCTTCCTCCTCTCCTTCTTCACTCTATCTTTTTCCTCTCCTTCTTCTCCTTTCTCTCCTTCCTCCTCCTCCTTCTCCCTCCTCCTTCTTCTTCTTCCTTTATCCCTTCTCCACTTTCTTTTCTATCTTCTTCTCTTTTCTCCTCCTCCTCTTTCTTCTTCTTCTCCTCTTCCTTCCTCCTCCCTCCTCCACCTCTTCTCTATCTTCTTCTTCTTCTCCCTCCTACTCCTCTTTTCTTCTTCTTTTCTTCTTCTCTTCTCCTCCTTACCTCTCCTCCTCTCCTCCTCCTCTCCCCTCCTCCTCCCTCCTCCCCTCCTCCTCTCTCCTCTCTCCTCCTCCACCTCCTCCTCCTCCCTCCTCTCCTCCTCCCTCCCTCCTCTCCTCCTCTCTTTCCTACCCCCTCATCTTCCTCTTCTTCCTTCTTCTCTCTCTCTCCTCTCCTCATCCTCTCCTCCTCCTCTCCTTTTCACCTCCACCTCCTCCTCCTCCCTCTCTTTCCATCTCCCTCCTTCTCCTTCCTCTTCTCTCCTTTCTCCTTCCTCCTCCTCTCCTCCTCCCTCCTCCTCCTTCCTCCACCTCCTTCATCCATCCTCCCTCCTCCTCTCCTCCCCCTTCCATCTCCCCTCTTCTCCTTTTCTTCTCTCTTTCCTCCTCCTCCTCCCTCCTCCTCCTCCTCCTCCTCCTCCTCCTCCTCTTCCTCCTCCTCCTCCTCCTCTCCTCCTCTCCTCCTCTCATCCTCTCCTCCCTCCTCCTTTTCCACCTCCTTCCTCCACTCTCTTCCTCCTCCTCCCTCCACTCTCCTCCTCCCCCTCCATGTCCCCCTTCTTCTCTTCTTCTTCTCTCTCCTCCTCCTCCTCTTCTTCTTCTTCCTTCTCCTCCTCCTCTCCTCCTCCTCCTCCCCCTTTCTCCTCTCGAGTGCCCAAGAACCCGTGACAGACGCCTGACATCCCCGTGACATCGCTGACATCAGAGAGATAAGATACGAGGGGACATCACTTAGAGAGACATCCTTCGGAGTGATTGAG